CCCTCCACCCCCAGGGTGTGGTACACCTCAGCTTTCATTTCCCCTTTCTTCAGTGGTTCATATTCACCCTCTTTCCTCTCTGTGCGCGGTGCTTCTGGGTTAAGGGTGTCGTACTCGCCGCCCGTTCTTTTTTGGAGCGTCTCATATTTGTCATCTCCTCGTGACTTCATTGCCACATCCTCGTATATTGGTCCTTATTAAAAGAAAAGAAGTGCTATGTGATGCCTTCAGTGTGCTTACGAAAAAAGTGGAAAACAAGTAGTAGTTACTTACCGCTGGTGTTTCTCTTCTTATACCACATATAAAAAGCTCCAGCTGAAATTGTCAAACCTAGAACCACCAGCACGATTACCACTACTACCACTAGAATGGTTGTGATCGGAGGTTTATCTGAAACAGAGACAGAACATACATAACATATCATGAATATGAAATCTCTGTGGCTGTGACACTGCAAAGGTTCATTAGTTAAATTAACATTAGCAACAGGCCCAATAATCCATAGCCAAACTGCAGTCGCACTGGAGGGTTACTCCAGTGATTTAGTATTACACTTCCACAAAGTTGGGGCAATGTCATTAAAAAATTGATGCAGCAGATGCAGAGATATCGTGACTTTAAAGTTAAAGTACAGCAGAAGATCCAAAAACACTGTATCTTGCATCATTTAGATAGACCCTACTTGCCAGAGTTTAGATTAATCCTGACAACATCATCAGGGTTAATCTCTCCAGTCACAAATTACATTATACAACTGTTCTGACATGCAACGACTTGTAGTCATGATAACTAAATGTTAACATAATGTTTATTAATTTATTGTCTGTATGAGAAAGTGTCAAAGTTCATTAGCAGGAACAAAAGCAGGAACTCACAAACGTGACTGTTGCTGAGAAAAGTCATCCCGTCACTGAACACAGCTCTACACCCATAAGTACCACTTTCTGTTGGCATCATGTATCCTTTGTTTTGCTCGAGAAATTGCCATCGCTGGCCATCATCTTTCTTGTGGTACCAATTATAGGAGATAACACTGGGACAATGTAAACAATCACATGACATGCCCATGTTTGCTGAGAGAACTGCCTTCATAGGAGCCTCTGAAAAAGGACACATGAGAAGGACAATTAAAGATGTCTGTTCATTCAGTACACCAGCAGTCGCTGCAGTCAAACAGCGTTGTTTGGATATGCATACCTTGGACAAACACTTCTTGATCATCAGAGACCACTTGGTACGGGGATCCACTAGTGCGGGCCACGTATGTGAAGATGGCCTCACACTTATAATGTCCCCGGTCAGATTCTGTCACATTAGAGATTGTGTGGGTAAGTTTGGCACTTGGGAAAATCGTTGCACCGTTTTTGTAGAAAACAGTGCGAGTGATCTGATCTGTGCCCCAGACAAGGCACGACAGAGTGAGACTTTCCCCAGCTACAGCAGGCAGGGGATCCATCTCCAGCGATACTTCCTTCCCTGACAGAGGAAGATGAAGTGGATTAATTTACCCCTATAATTTAAATTATAAAAAATCTAAATAAGCTGGTGAACAAGCATTTAGCATTTAAAGAGCCAGATATAAGAGGTAAAAAGAGAGTAAATATTGGACTTAATATTTGCCAGGTGACACCAAATTAATGCTTATGTTGCTCCATAACTATTGGATGTATAGATAACTTATTTAGCGACATAAATGTTATAGTACAACAATGCATTATAATAACAGTAGGCCTACCTGAGGTCCTGACTATGATTTGGTTACTTCTTAGTTGTTCTTTACTATTAATGCACCAGAAAATGGTCTCGGGGACATTCAGTTCCCTGGGTTGAAAGACCACATTCTTACTGCTCTCCTCCAACCTCAACACAATCCTCTTTGTCTCCGTTCCCCTAAAGACCCGGCATCTCCATCCCTGCAGACCATCGTCATTCTCAAGCATCAGGATAACTGAACTGTGAGGCTGCATCACTGGCTGGCCTGTCAATATGGTGAGTGAGGCTCTGGGATGGTATTCTGAATGGTAAATAAATAGAATATACCATTATTTGTATGGATAGTGTATCTCCCATTATACCTTTGGGAGTTTGAACTCTAGTACTTGTGTTCATGTGGTACATTTACCCAGGACTTTGAGGGGGAGGCTGACACTTTTTTGCCCATTGCTTTCACACTGATAAGAGCCGTTGTTGTTGGAGGTAGCAACTGCTATCTTCCAGGTTTTGTTAATCTGCCGTTTGTCCAGATTGTTGTTGAAGTACCATTTCACGTTGCTCCCAGTTATGTTGTCACAGCTCAAATAAAGTAAGTCCCCAGAGAAAATCTGCTTTAAATTTGGTAATATGGAAACTAAGGAGGCAAGGAGGGACAAAGGAAAAGACGACATACAGTTAAGCATAGGCATTCTGACACCTGGTGCAATTTATGTCATTTCAAGAAACTACAAAGGGCTGTTGTACATGGTTATTGCTGCCACCTATGGACATTATGAAACGTCATTCTTCTCTTCCACTACATCGCACAGGCAAATATTGCACTGTTTACTCAACTACATTTCTTTAGCTTTAGTTACATGTCAGATTATATATTTTTTCTGTCTAATGTGTACGCCCAAATTTGATGATTTTGAATTTTTCGGATAAACTGAAGGGTTGACTGTTCCTTTATGGGTTGAGAAATGTCTCCTACGTCTTAATCTAAACAATCTCCTCTTGTATTAGTTGTAATGTCACAAAACTGGAAACAGGGCTGTTTTTCTAAGCTTATAAAAAGTTGACTTAGCTAATAAAAAGTTGACTTTTTATAGACAGATATAGATACATGGTTCTCACAGAACAATGACGCTACAAACATGTGATGATCTTATAGATATGATGCATTGCTGTAGATTAAACAACCCAACAGTGTATAAAGTATTATGTATGTTATAAGTAATGATCTCATCCTTAAACATCTACAGCAGTAAAATGCAACACACACATTGATGCAGCAGTAATATTATTCGATTTATCGGGACAGATAAATTATCGGCCTATAATGGGAAATTTATATTATAAATTATCAGGATAATTCAATTGCAGCTGATAAATTATTAGTTGAAATTAGTAACATGTTTGAAGAGTCAGACTGTTTGTTGTTGTGTTAACAGAGATTTCAGTTAGATTTGGTTGCAACAGAGCTATAGAATATTAAATCATCAATCTTTGCTCACTACATTGCAGCCTTTCTTACCCTCAGGTGTGCACGAACTACAGGTTCAACAAACTTTTTTAAAATACAAAAATATGGAGGATTGCACATGTGTGAACTTACCTGTTGGCTTTGGCTGACATCTTGCCAGGACCACAAATGCTGTAACAAAATTCAAACATTTTTTTTTTTTTTTAAAAATACAAAACTATGACTGAGGGCAAGTCAAAACAAGTTCAAGTTTTTTCTTTTTGGTCACATCTTCAAGTATTGTACAAACAATGTGTCCAGAGCTGTGATGTTTTTTTGTTTGTTGTTTTTTTTTTCAGTTAAAGAAGTTAAAGTTTCTGTAGGTGGTGCTATTTTATTTTGTCTGTTCAGCCACAGTGCCACTGCTCATGGAAGCCACACAGTTGTTTTTATTCAACCTGATATTTAGTTCTAAAGAATTTTTTAACCTTTCTGTTATGGCTAATAAATTGACAGTATAATTACATTACTTTACTGTCATTTGATACTTTTGTCCAAAGACACTTAAAATAAATTTAACCTGTAGTAAAGCTGTAAAGAAAAAGTTAACACTAAAATCCAAGAACTAAGAAGCTAAATTCCCTGCTTCATCTTGATCTCTTTAGTCTTCGAAACATTTCTTGGATTTCTGTCTATCACTTGTACCAAAGATCAACATACTATAGAATCAAAACACTGCTTGTTTTGTTTGCAAACAGTAGTTTCTATACATTTTATATCATCTTTGTTATTTGCACTCAAACAACAAAGAGAGGCCCGAAATCTGCACTCTTCTTATTTGCAGGGACCTTTGACCTCTGCCATTACTGCACCAAATTCAATTTTTTAATAGAATTGCGTTTTCATTTTAATTGTATATGAAGAGGTAGTTTAAGTTATTAAACAACTAGAAAAAATATAAAAATATAATAATTGTGCTGGCCAGATTATACTTTTTACATCATGCAGTGAAGTGACTGGAGAGAGGGCAGTTTGAGATCCCTGATCAACGGTAAAAAACGACTACGGACGGTAGCCTGTATATACACTGTGTGTACATATTATGTTATCTAGCTGTAGCTATACTCAAACCACTGTTATGCAGATAATAAAGTGTCACATATTGTGCTACAGTAGGTTTGTAGTATTTGGGTTCATTATTGCAATTTTTTTGTGTCATGCATCATCACTCTTTTATTCCAAAGACCCAAAGTTCACTAATATTACAGAATATTCATTATGTTTTACATAGTCAACTAAAATGAAATTCACTTATAATGCAGGACATTGTAATTATTGTAAGGACACATGTCCTTATAACATTTTCACGTTTAACTGGCGCAAATTTTTCCACAGCTAGCTTTAGGCTTAATGATATAATAATGATATAAAATATAAATATCTGAGCCTTTTCTTAGTATTTGTCATTTTATTATAATCACGTTTCTAAACAAAATGTTTAGCAAATGTGTAAAAGGTATTTCATTTATTTAGTATTATTTCACTTTATTTGGATAGTCCGTTTTAACTTCTAAGTGTTCCTTAATTAAGTTAATTGCTATTTGTGCTTTAGTTTTTGGTTCAGTAAATGTACATATTCCAGCTGATAGAGGGACAAAATGTTGATTGGCTCCATAACCCAGTTTCATGAAAACATTGGGCTTAAGGTAAAGATAATGTAAAGCCGTGATATTTCCACCCACCTACAAATGTGTGCAGAAAAATTACAAATACATTGCATGTGAAATTATAGAGTGCCAAACATATTTAGTTTTCTGATTTAGTTTTAACCTTATTCTGTCCTCTCCATAGATGATGGTGATGATAGATGAAAATTGACTTTTCAGCCAACGCCCTGCTCCTCTCACACTGATAGATCAGTGAGGGTTAAGCGCCTTGCTAAAGGGCACCTCAGTGATTTCTATGTAGAGAAAACTTTTACATGTTTGTTAAATGTTAAATGCAATACATTTTAGATAAAACTCAGCTAAATCTCAGAACATTTTAGTATGTTCTAACAATGTTAGAAATGGCACATAATTATATATTTGATTAATTGCCTCTATCACCAAGATCAGCAGCTACGGTTACTCCCCTCTACATTTCTGTGTTATATGCACATGTAGTAATGATGTACTGATGTTACATTCCATAATAAATACACAAAACATCTGTCTAAAAGCATAGTTAAATCTTACAAAATTCCAGCTGAAAAGCACGAGATAATTGGTAATAATAATTAATAATAACAAAAATTAACACATGACAATCCCATAAGCACCTTTAACCAAATCTTGGTTCATGTTTCACTGGAACCTTCTTACCTGCCAAGAGCAGCAAATGTCCTCCACTCATTGCCCTGCCAGTCAACACAGTCAAGAGAAACAACAGTGACTAAAGTGCTGGTAACTGACCGGGCTAACTGGCTGTTTCTAGTATTTAGTCATGTTGAGGAAGTAGCAAGTTGCGAGGGACATAAGATCTATACCAAACACATCTTCACACAACTTAGCACTACGTTTTCAATTGTGACGCAGCAAGAAAGAGAAAAGTAGAGGAAGTTTAGAAAATAGAATTATTTTTTGGTAATACAGTTCATACAGAGACGAGGACTACAAGCTCATATATGAAGAACAGAGATGTATGAATGAAACTGTAAGAGATTCCTTCAAAAGCTTTTCTAGCCACGATTAAACCTCAAAGAGAGCATTAATACATTCTTTATGATGAATAAATATATAATAATACAATATATATAAGAATGCTTTACTTGCCTCCCAAACAGCCCTAGCCCCCGCCTGGACTAAGGGAGGTCTGGAACAGAGTTTAAAAGGTTAACAGGAAACAGTGAAAAAGAGATTACTTACCATAACAAAACCCACTTACCAAAGAACTAACTAATGCCAAATCAAGTTCTATACAAGAGAACCCAAAAACAAATACAGAAAACAAAGACTAAAATTAAGACCCAAAGCAAGCCCCTTTTTGTATTGAAACAGGACAAATCACCTTGTTCTACACAGTAAAACATGCTGGAACGGTAGCCTACTAAAGCACGCATGACAGGCCACTTTGTGGTGGCGAGGATAAGGAAAGTAAATCTATAAATAATTATAACAAATAACCAATTAGGAAAAGGAGACCTGACAACGCCACACCTGGGGAATTTCACCCCCCAAGAGAGTTAATCTTGTAAGAACACACAGGTAAAGTTTACTCCGTAAGGCATGAGACTGGTCCGATATCCTACAGAAAAAAATATACAATTTATTCATTACATAATTGCTAAAAATATCTTAAATTTCATTCCATACAAAAAATCAAAAACAGGAATCAAAACAGAAAAGGGGGGCTGAGTAGAGTGTATGGACAGGGGCTTAGTGCAGGGGGGGATCACCAAAATAATAGAAATCAACTCAAAGACACCCGACAGTACTGACCCATCTCAGTGAGGGAGACCCGCTTCCCCGGATTCACAGCAAACAGAAAGGGATAGCCGACCACCCGACAAATTCAAATAAGTAATCAATTCAAAATAGAAAGATTACTCATCCACCACGCCATGGAGCCAGGCCCCAGTTAAACACACCAGGCGCGAGTCGACAAGCTGCTTTTGGGCACGGCGTAGGCCGCAGCACTCCAGGCCGCGCGACCGCCGGGTAGCCAACACAGAGCGAAGCAAAGCAGCCAACGCAAGCAAGCAGCGTGAGAACCGTCCTCAGAACGAGCAGGCTCGAGACTAGCAACAAAGCTAGCAGGTGATAAAATAGGACAAAGCCAGGAGCGTTGACAAAGCAGAGCCGTTGACAAAGCAGTAGCCGTTGACAAAGCAGCACGACCCAATCAGCTGATCGCCATGTACACCTAATGGTAGAAACATACCATGAACGGTTAACTACATTTAAAATAAATACTGCGTTGGTTACTTATACTGACAACATACCCCTGTTTAAGGACACCACCCATTCGCACCGGAGGGAGGAGGGAGAGATAGGGCCGCCACTGCGGCATTTACCCTGTGACCACACTCACACGTTTATGAGGGCCGTCGGGACCATTATTCAGAATTAACCTCTCACCACACCTACTGGAAACGCTCTCACACACCCACTACTGAAACGCTCTGCACACACACTAGCTCGGGAAACGCTCTCCACACCTACTGAAACCGCTCTCACACACTACATGAAGCCTCTCAGCACACACCTACTGAAACGCTCCTCACCACACACTACTGAAACGCTCTCACCACACACTACTGAGAACCGCTCTCACCACACACTACTGAAAAGCTAATCACACACACTAACTGAAACGCTCTCACACACACTACTGGAAACGCCTCAACATCACACTACTGGAAACGCTCTCGACACACACTAGCTGAAACGTCCTCACACAAAACAACTGAAACGCTCTCAACCATACAACTGAGGAGGACCCTCTTTATATAATATATACAAAGATGATCAGTAGTGCGCGTGCGGAAAGCTGCATGCTGCCCTGTGTCATTTACTCCAGCCTTCTGAGTTTGCTTTTTTTAACTCTAATTTATTCTCTTTTTGTTCGTTCTTAATTTTCACTGTAACTCTCTGAAGTCGCTGCCCTCTCTAACATGTTTGGTTTTGAGAGAGTTGTTGGTAGTTTATTTCTGTTTTAATGCTCTTCACCGAACACTAAGGGCCATTTCCTTCACAGGCAAAAAGAGAACACCTTGAAAATACACCAGGGACATCGCAAGCAGATATTTAATTTTGTATGTCCTATTTTACATTTTAAATGAGTTGTTCCAACCAGATTAGCATAAAGGTGCATACACATACCACCATGCTAATAAAAATACTATACAGATACCAGCTCATGACAACTGGCCCTTCCAACGTCAGATTACATAGGTCTAGATAACACACTCCATATCAGCATAAAGGGTAAAAAAAACATAAGTATAAAAATACCCAGCACCTCTGTTAAAGATGTTCAGGCTTTGCCTAACGCGCTCGCTATTCACAATTGACGCCTATGGAGCATTTTCCAGAAATTTCAGTCCAACAACGAGCTTTAGGCTAACCTAGAGATTGATGTGAACAGCCGAGGTGACGATATTGTGCAGCATCACACATGGCCATGAGCACCATACTACCCACATTAGGCGCAATGTGTGGTATAATAGGTCAGCCACAGAAATTGTAACCAATGAAATTACTTATTGACAACCCAGATTTTTTTTGACCACACATTTTAGCCAACAAGTATAAACTAACAACGGTAAGTTGACAAAAGGCCAAGACCACTTTTTTTGTTTATTTTCTCAAAAAGGAGGACAAACTGAATGCGGCCTTGCAAGCCAAACAGGGGCATTTAAAGCCGGACTGATCCAGCCTACAGCGGAGGAAGGCCCACCCCTAGCACGGACACAGCATGCAGTTGTTACATCCCCGGAGAACCCAGCTGATCACCCATAATGCGGCGCTGGCATAGTGCACAGAACGCTGATTTACCAGCTGACTACTGAGAAAACACCGGAGGGAGAATGCAGAGGAGGCGAAGCAATGCCGGGGAGAGAAGACGGAAGGTGGATGCAGATGTTTATGGAGAAGATTTGAAAGCAGAGTCTCCCCTCTTGTTAGTGTCGGCACTGTAGCGAGTTCAATTTAGCTCGGGGTGCCGACGCCATACAGACACGCTGCCGATTCTCACTAGGAGGAACAAGGCTATCGCCAATGCCTTCATAGGTCTAATACAACATCCATAACCACAGAAACGGTCTCATTAAGTTTTTTTTACTGATAAGCTACAGCAGACCGGTGATCACCAAAAAAAAAATACAGCAACCTTCCTGTTTCAGATTAAAGCTTGCTTTTACATATGTTACGAGTAATGGGAGCATGTTCAAAAAATTCGAGTCTAACCAACTGACTTTAGCTACGTTTATGTTCTCTGTCGCTTGAGTTTGATTGACAGCCTGAGCGAGTGGTTTGGGCGCAATCAACACATGGCTCATTTAAGTGACAATATCCAAGAGTTAGCCATGTTTGAATCGGGTTGGCGACCAAGGTAAAATGTAACCAACTGAAATGTACTTTTTTTTTTTTTAGCCCAGCAATAATACATAGAACCTAACAAGGATAATTGTGTCAAAGTCTTTTTATGTTATTTTCTCCAAAAGAGGACAAAGAGTGTTTCTGGCTTTAAAAGCCCGACAAAATCTGCCACCCCGGGACCAAGCTGCTGTTGTTTAGCTGTCCAGAGAACAGGCGAATGGCCTGCGGCGCATAGTGGCAGGAACCAGCTGATTAGCACTGAACTCTGGAAGAGACAGGACACTACGGGAACAGGAGCCATCGGGGAAAGAGAGGAAGGTGGAGACGGAGGAAGGTGTAACAGGAGAAATAATTAAGTCTCCCCTCCTCCTTTGTTCTGTGAATTACGGTAAAAAAGTATGTGTGAGAGCGTTTCGAGTAGTGTATAGGTAAGAGAGCTGTTTCAGTAGTGTAATAAAGCAGCGTGTTCATTGTATAGCCCGGCTGTTGGAGGACGTTTCAGGCTGAAGCTGTCTATGCCTGACGAGCGTTTCAGTCAGTGTAGATATAAGCCACCGACCCGTTTCATGTCAGTGTAGTACAAGGAGCGTTTCGAGTTGAGGTACCATGGTGAGCAGCGTGATTCAGGTAGCTGGTAACTGTGAGAGCGTTTCAGTAAGTGGTGTCGACGCGGTCTCTATCAGTAGGTGTATAGGTAACAGAGCGTCGTTCAGTTTATTATACGCAGCGTTTCACGTAAGGTGTGTGAATGAGAGCGTTTCGAGTTATAGTAGGTGTGAGAAGCGTGTTAGTATGTGTGTGGAGAGCGTTTCAACGTTTGTGTGTGTGAAGAAGCGTTTCCAGTAGGTGTGGTGAGAGCGGTGTTCAGTTTATATAGTGAGTGGGGTGTGATAGCGCTTTCAGTAGTGACGTCGTGAGAGCGTTTCAGTTAGTGTGTGGAGAGCGTTTCAGTAGTGTGGTGTGAGAGGCCCGGTGTTCGGAGAGTGTTGGTGTGTGAGAGCGTTTCAGTTGTGGGTGTGAAGCCGTTTCAGTAGTGCGTGTGGAGACGCCGTTTTCGAGTATGTGTTCGAGACGCGTTTCAGTAGTGGTCAGTGTGAGAGCGTTTCAGAGTGATGTAGAGCGTTTGCGAGGAGGGGGAGGGTACTGTGACGAGCGTTTCAGTAAGTGGGTGTGAGGAGCATTTCAGCTAGTTGTGTGAGAAGCCGTGGTTCAGTAGGTGCGTGTGAGGAAGGATTTCAGTAGGTTGAGTGTGAGAGCATGGCTTCGCGGTCCAAAACGGAAGTGTTTCAGTAAAACCGGGAAGGGCCCCCTTCGGTTCAACGCAAACATGCTGCAGCTTGACAGCACGATTCAGGGGTGTTGATCGTCAGCCATCCGTTGTTCACTAGAACACGGAAATGCGGAGACAAG